AGAGAGAGAAAGAGAGAGAGAGAGAGATCGAGAGGAAGGGGAGGTGTAGGGGAGAGAAAGAAAGAGAGAGAGAGGAGGGGGTGAGATACGAAGAGACTAAAAGAGAACGTATTCACATACACGTTGGTATTATAATAATACTACTTTAACGTTCACCCTCAACTGAGTACCGTTGTGTCAGGTTAGTTTGTATAGGTGTGTTTATGTGTGTGTGTGTGTGTATGTGTGTGTGTGTGTGTATGTGTGTGTGTGTGTGTATGTGTGTGTGTGTGTATGTTTGTGTGTGTCTGTGTGTGTTTGGGAATGGGTGTGAGGGTGTGGAAGTACTGTTTGGTACTAAAATATACAAAATATAATATATAGGACTATGCATCATCATTTAAAAGAAATGTATCCAATATTATGCCAGCAGCATCTCGTACCAATGTTATTGACTCTGTATTCTCAATCCTCTCCATCTCCAGCCCGTCATGGAATTCCCTGAATCAGGGCATCTACCAGATCCTGGTGGCTCTGTTTTTCTACCTTCTGCCCATGGTGATGATGGGAGCCACGTACACACACATCGCGACAGTGCTGTGGAAGCACGAGATCCCGGGCGCCGTTGTCGGGGGTGAGTTACGTCACTTTGTGTTTCATTTTGGATCCAATTGAGCATCTGTTGGGCATTGTTGTCTATGTTACTCGTGATGTGAATCCTGGTATTTGATTTTTAGTTTCTTTTTAGCGAGAGTTTTAAGGCATTTGCAACACAATTTGGTCATATAAGTCAGAGATGATACAAGATAGTGCCATGCAAAGAAAAGGAGGAAAAGAGTGAAGGATGATAGATGTTTGATACAAAAGAGTGATAACCTCGAGCAAAACGGCAAATGTTTTGTAAGATTTTAATCCTTTGAACTTGTTCTTTTTTTCTATTGACACAAAGTCAGACTGAAATTTAAACAATCAAACCCCAAAATGCGCCATCTCACAATAACATGAGTCCTGTATTCGCACCTGTAGATAAGAAAAACCACTGGAACAAGAGTGAATCTGCTCTAACACAAACGCTAGCAGTATTGTACCAATACTCATAATAATTGATCTTCAAATCCTTTTTTTTATGGTCTTGTGATAAGCTCTGTCCACTGAGGTGGTCCGTGTGAAAGATCGAATTGAAGCAGAAAATAAAATTCTACTTATGGTAAATTGTTTATATTAGATCTATACATTTTTCTTTACACCATGGATTCAGAAAAAAATTACTCGCCATAAATGATTAATAGATTTCTGTCACGTCTTTTTGGGGGGGGATAGAAGTGACAGGATAAATATACCTCCTACAGCCAGAAAAGCGAAACTGTCTTTTCCAAAAATGTGGCAAAATGTTTGCACATTTTAACGACACACCTCGACAATACAAAACCGTTGAAATAGAGAAATGCTGCATGTTACTACGTTTCCTACATGCAAAGGACCGATTTTGAATTGGTTATGATTGTTGGGGTTTTGGTAAAGGATGAGAATGGGCAATGTTGGAGGTGTGCGGAGTTGAAAAATCCAGTTTACTGTATAATTAGTGCGGGTCAGACGCTCTGTACGGCTTTGCATTAAAATACATTGATACCGTCAATCTTGTCAATTTCGAAGTTATGATTGAAGCTTTCACCATCAAACTGCCTAATCTGTTTTGTCTTGTGTGGCCGGGCCTCAAATGGCGTGTAGCAAGAGTACATCACAGCCATGTCAGGGTATTATGAAATTAGGTTAGAGATAATTATGCTAAGATCATAGAGTTTAGCTGTTTCTTCCTGTGACATGTTTTGGATCATTTTGAAATGAATTAACAAATGTCCCCATGTGTATATTATGCTCACATTGTTACATTAAGGAAAGAAGAGCCAGTGGCATTCAGAAATCCCATAACAATAATCGGGGAAGTAATCACAAAGATTAAGCTCTTTAGGACAGGCATCTATAATGTTTCAAGCACTTGGCAATCGATTTACGCGGTGGGGATCTGCTGTGCACAAGGTTAAAATCCTTTATTATAACGAAGGGTATTTATTGGGGCTGTTTTTGCCTGCTAGCTATGCTAGACACTGCACGCTCATCGACACTCATTGTTCGTTTGTCAATTACAAAGAGATTTTATGAAGCGATTCCACGCATATTACTCACAAATCGACGTCCACAAGGTTGTAATCATCGTCCAGGATGTGTTTATGATGAAAATCGTGCTCCTGAAAAGGACGTTAGCATGTTTGCTGGAACGATCATAACGCAAAACAGATCTGCGCCTTCAATATGCATGAAGTTCCGAATAACTCAAAGCACTGCTCGTGTCCAGTTGTCCAATGCGAAGGGTGTACATTGATGTAAAGCTATATGGTTGTTGTACGTGCTACAAGATAGCGGTTGAGGGTAAGCAGACCATGCTATGATTAGACGTTCGTAGCATTTCGACAAAGCTTGGCTTGATCGCCAAAGATATAACGTGTTGTGCTTGTTTTCTATTGATGTTTTTTTTGTTTTGTTTTAATTTTATTTTTGATTACTACTTGGGTTTATGTTAAAAACCGAGTCTCGAAAACAAGTAGCAAGATAAAGGATTTGATATATTATATTGGAAAGGGAAAACTTTCTTTTTTAAAGTTTAAATTTTCTTCATTTTTGGGGGGTAAAAGAATAGGCATTCTGGCGTCTATGACAGTGAGATCAAATTATAAGATAAATCTTTATCGTCCAGATCAAGGCAAATTGGTTTTGTGTTTCACCACAAATATACTCCTACGCACACACACACACACACA